AACACAACTGTGATTGTAACCTTACATATATAAATAACTGGCTTACGACTGAACTGAAGTTGCTGTATCAGTTAACACAATGGTGTGCTACAATTTGGTAGTCCAACAATCACCTCCAATTCTGCTTCAATCACTGTATCCCTCCAAACCCAGGTACAATCTCCACTCTTCTTACCTCTTGTTTGTTTTTCAGTTGCTCTCTTTCTCTTTTCTTGATACAGATTTTCATTCCCAAATTCAAGATTTCTATTCTGCATTATGTCTAATCATTAATTCTGTGATCTATTAATATAGTACAGTGTACCCGTTTTTTCTTTTTCTTTATGGTTGTTCACAATTGTGTGGTTAATAATGCAAAAGATTTGGTACTAAACCCAGACCCAATATGTACTACTGTAGTAGTTAAGAAAATGAGTAAAGAGAGTTGTAAGAGAATTGCTTACTCACTGATTTTAGTACTTGGGGGAAATTCATGTTAAATTCAGCCAGCAGCCTGTCTTGTTAAACCTACCACTTTAAATCAATGGTTAGGAGCTTCATTTCTTTTTAGGTATGATGAGGAGTTTTCTGAAATTAGGATGGTAATACTTTTGTCAATTTTGTTGAGGATATGATCTGATCGGATAAAAGAGTAGGGATGACACGATAATGGGCATTGGATTACATTAAAAAAACATATGATATAAATAGTCTATCTTGATGGTGCTCAAGGTTAAAGAAGATGGATTTTACAGGCTTCTCAATGCTTGTCTCGATTGAGGATAAGGTGCACGTCATACATACAGTGGAGAGAAATAGCTTTGCAGTAAAGAAAAGTTTTGCACCTCTGAATCGGAAGTACGTCTAAGAGGGTATTTTCTTGTGGTGTGTTGAAGTTGTCCTATAGAAGGTTTTGCTTGCATTCTAAATTTTGTGCAGGAATCAATAGCCTAAAACTGGCCGTACAATCATCTTAGGTTTTGTATTAGATTTATGTGACTGATGTTTGCTTGAAGGTTCACTTTTCTTTTAATCACGTTTCATTCTTCATGTAATGGGGATTGTTCTTCCTTCCTTGTAGGGGGATGCCTATGAAAGTGATGTCCGGCTGCTGTAATGAATGTCCTATATCTAGTAAGGTTGTGGTTAAACAAGTCTTTTCAGGTCTTGCAGCATCGATCCTATTTCTCTCTCAAAGTAACCTGGTTAGAATCTTTACTTTATTTGCTTACTCCTGGTTCCAAGAGATCAAGATATAGCATGAGAAAAATCCTATTTCTCCGGTGCATTTAGTGGCACATAAGCATTTGGTTGATTTGATAAGACTGTTATGACAGTTGAAGGTCAAAAATCATATTTTACTCTATGTTATCAAACAAAGATATTTTTATGGCAAGCATGATTTTTCAACTCAGAATGTGTTATATCATAAATTAACCCAAAGAGCCAAAATTCCAGAAATTTTGTTAAATTTTCAATCGTATCTTCATTCTCTTGGTAGGCTTTTGCAGCAGATCTTCCTCATTACAACAGTGTGTCCCAACTTGCAAATGCCATAGACAGCGCACCGGTTCTTCCTCTGGAGAAGGGAAATGATGGTGGAGGTGGAAAGTTGATGATGATGCGAGGCATGACAGCAAAAGACTTTGATCCAATCAGGTATTCTGGAAGATGGTTCGAAGTAGCTTCCCTTAAACGTGGATTCGCTGGACAAGGTCAAGAAGATTGCCACTGCACCCAGGTGAACGTTGAGAGTGTTAACACCTGAAAAATTGCCTTCTTCTTATTATGTCTTTGCATATATTTTGGGTTCCTTGGTTCTTGGACGCTCATACTTGAAGATTTCTTATTTTGGAATGGTTTGTCTTTGTTCCAAATTATTTCAGGGCATTTACACTGTTGATATGGCCGCACCTGCTATCCAAGTAGACACATTTTGTGTTCATGGAGGACCTGACGGCTACATCACAGGCATAAGGGGAAGGGTTCAATGCCTTACCGAGGAGGATAGGGAGAAAAATGAGACTGATCTAGAAAGGCAAGAAATGATTAGGGAGAAGTGTTACCTTAGGTTTCCTACATTGCCGTTCATCCCAAAGGAGCCTTATGATGTTATTGCAACTGATTATGACAATTTTGCACTGGTTTCTGGAGCTAAAGACAGAAGCTTCATTCAGGTAATCAACTGTTTCTCTTTGATATCTGCCGTGAGTCAAATGATATTTTCTCTCTCTTCAATATGTGAGAATACATCCCTGAAATGAGCTTCTCATAGTTTCTGCATTTTTCGTGTTCAACAGAGTGTACCTCACACTTGACCCTTTTTTTTCATTATTATGAATTATTTACTAAAGAACTGGGTCACCTGACCTTGGGGTTAATGCTACTACAACAACAATACAATGACACCAATCAGGGAGCAAATTAGAAAAAACTCTTTCTTATGAAGAAATTACAGCCATATTCTCTTGGGAAACTTTTTCTTTTGTGTGAAAATAGCGGGAAATTAATCATATCGGGGCATCTATAATGCTAAAATGTAGGCTCGACTGCTATCATCATCCTCGATAGTTTCTCACAATGCCTGCAGTGCCACTCCTTCCCAGATTTTCACGGATACTGTCATCAGTATTCAGCTCTCCCCCATAGGACTTCAGCGGCCTGTTTGCTTTGCTGAATCCCTTGAGTCGTGCTAGACTTTAAGTCCAATTCTGTTGCCACTCAATCTCTGGAAACTGAAGCTGTATAATTTGCACCATAATACCCAACAGTACTCCTGTAACCACCACTTAATAACTTGATGTCTAAAGGTAAGGGAGTACCCTGTACTCCCAAAGTAGAATCATAATCGACCTCATTTTCCTTGCCATCTCTCCAGTCAGAAGACTGTTCCAGCGATTCCTCAGATATAGTAGTACAGCAGTAGCATTTTGAAGAAAAATTGTAGTCCATATTTGTCATCTTATTATCAGTAGTTGGGCTGATTCACATATTACTGAAGCCTGAATTTGCAGTTTTCAACTCTCAAAAGTGCTTGAGTTTATCATAGGACAAAAATTTATCTGATGTAGTAATGATTGATAAACTGATTGATCTGCGTTTCTTTCCTCGATCAGATATACTCGAGGACACCTAATCCAGGACCAAAATTTATAGAGAAATACAAAAACTACTTAGGTAGTTTCGGATATGATCCAAGCCAAATCAAAGACACGCCACAAGACTGTGAGGTGAAGTCTACGAGTCAGCTAGCAGCAATGATGTCCATGCCAGGAATGCAACAAGCTCTAAGCAACCAATTCCCTGATTTAGAGTTGAAGGCCGCTGTTGAATTCAACCCATTCACAAGTGTTTTTGAAACTCTCAAGAAGCTTGTTGAGCTTTATTTCAAGTAGTGAAACCTTTCGAGTTTTATGACATATATTTTGTATCCTTGTATAGTTCATATTTTTATAGACCAACCCCACTCCAATTTGGTCCCTGAAGCCTCAGGTCAGCTATCTTTATGACTTGTGGGCTCTAACACTTGATAATGCACATTGAAATAAAGTTTGATTATGAATGAAATATTTTCCATAATTATATACTATTTCACATTATATAAATTTTATGTGTGTGCGTCTGTGCATAAAAAAAGATTTTTGGGGGCGTGGAATCTCAGTGTGGAATCATTGCAGGAAAAGAGTAGCGGTTGGGAACTAGAACAAGATTAAACCTCTAAGCATAGAGATGAGTGTTTGTTGTTAGCCCCATTTCTTCAGTTTTTGGATTGGATTAAGGAGTTCCATGTTGACGCATCACTCTATGCCATTGGTTCCATCCCTGTTGGGTAGGTAATTATTCGCACCCTCTTTCAACTAGTGTTTCATGGTCACCATAGAAAATTTGCAGCGGTTTGGTGCAATAGCATTTGTCACATTCAAATTAGTGTTTTATGTTAGGCCTAAGCAAGAGTTTTACGGCCCAGGCCAAATGGAACTTGGTGTTTAAGCTAAATGTCAACATTCAAATATAATTGAAGAAAAGGATGGAGTCAGTTTTTCTAATAGTTTTTTCAATATTGCAGTTAAAAACCATTTTATTTACAACTTTCTTCACCTTCAACAAGCTGATGTGATTTTAAAACTTAATAGAATTTTTTGTTAAAATGTAGTTTTATCCTTCATTACAAAATTACCGCTAATTATTTTATGTTTCATCATTAATAACGATAAAAGATAATATTCTACACGTTGTTAAGATAGCGGCAAAGTCTTAATTGGACGAATAAATATGACAAATTAAGCAAATGATTGAGTATTCGATATTAATTTGAATGAGACGAGGAAGAAGTACCAGTATTTAATATACAGCTGGCTCTGATAATTGTGAAAAGAGAGCAAGCTTCCCATTCCACTCTTTTTTTTTTATCCCTTTACCCTGTTCAGTAGTAATACCCGATAGAGAGAAATACACTATTAATTAACACCGTTTAATTGAAATTCCCTGTTGTTAATGGTGAGCCATTTTCATTTCAGAGTAGACATGTTAATATTTGTGAAGATATTTCATTTCAGAGTAGACATGGTAATATTTGTGAAGATATTTCATTTCAGAGTAGACATGGTAATATTTGTGAAGATATTTCATCTAACCTTGGTTAACTCTTAGGCAGTTGTAGAAAATTGTGGTGGATGCTGTTTTCAGTAGTCATTCATTCTAATATAAACCTAGAAAATTGTTCGTTAATTTCTTTCTAGTTAAAGAGGGAGCAGATAATGTAAATGAACCCTTCATATGCGATGTGAGTGAACCCTAACAAGTTTAAGAACATAAAAAGCCGAGCATGGTTGCGGGCCTATGGATGCTCCAGCAATTAACGCATTGGGGATAATCAGTCCGCCATGATGGAAACTAGAAATGAATGGCGATCTGAGTTACATAATTTCTTTTTTCAGAAAAAAGAGGTCAATTACTTGATATAAAAACATTAGTAAGAAAAAAGGGAGGGGGAGATTTGGTGGGGGAGGGGGTTATAACAGTTTGCTAGCTGATATGATGGCATATTAGTTAACAACTTCATCATACATAAGAAAAACTGCTGCATCAATTGGTACCACCAAGCCACAGTAACCACTTCATTAGAATTTTTTTTACCTAACTACACAGTGTCATTTTTCGGCGAAGGGGTGACACCCCTTGGACGAAGGTCGCTCTGCCACTACTTGCCCTCTTACTAGGCAAAGATAGATCCAGGTATATAGTTAATGGCTTAGGCTTCATAGTTGCTCTGCAGATGGCGACGAAAAATTCTTTATTTGAGATAGGCAGCCCATGCACTTTCTGATTCCTCTTCTTGCAAGAAAGAGAATATTTCTATAGGCTACAACTTGTCACGACAGCTCTCACAAGTCTCGCCAACTTGCAGATTTCTACTAGCAGTTACACCAAACCAAAGCTTGGATCATCGGCCAAAACCCCCAAAAAGGAGAACAGGGAGCAATAAGCTGATCCCAGCAGGTGCTCTATGGTATAAGTTGCAGAATGTAATGAATCAATTGCAATGTCCACATTCACTTACAGGAATCTAAATGCTGATATTCAAGGATTAGGCATTTAGACAGGGCTTTCAGACAGCTTTGAGAAACCAAGCTTCTTCAGGCGATTCTTTATAGGGCCTGCCCAAGTTCTGTCAGCATCCCCACAATTTATGTCCACAATTTCCACCATGTAAGGTCCCTTTCTCTGAGGTTTCTGCCTCACAGGAGTTCCATCAACGAAGACATTGTCGTTTTTTAGTATTGGAATTTGATTAGTTTTTCGATTATAGTGCTTTGTTTTCCTGACAATTTCAGGGCATTTCTTATTGTCCTCAGACATCCCACTGCTGCTTGCTTTGTCACTCAATGTTCCTGGCTTCACTCTTTTAGGACTGGTTGCACTTCCAGCAATGAAAGAACTAACAGTAGGAGACTTACTTCTATATGAAGCCGGTGTCTGAGGAGAAAACTTCTTAGAATCTAATTCTCTTGACATCAAGGAACCGATTGTACCAGTTGTTCCAACTTTAATAGAACCTCCACCACCCTTATTGGCTTCCACTGTCTGAACCATTCTTCTTTCAAAATTTTCTAGGATTGTCTATCAGATATTTAATTCAACCCTGCGAAGCAGTAGCAATCAGTTCATGAGCAAATAAATTATGCCTAGATTACTAAAATCATTGTTTGGCACGAGTTTCACTACAACAACAACAACCCAGTGAAATCCCACAAGTGGGTTTGGGGAGGGTAGTGTGTACGCAGACCTTATCCCTACCCGAGGGAGTAGAGAGGCAAAGAAGAATATAACAAACGGCAGGCCAGACTGCCAAAGAGATACATTCATAAGATATCACAAACGGCAGGCCTAACTGCGAAAGAGCTAAAGAAGAATCTAAGAATACGGCTTCCTCCAGACAAATGCCAATAACTTCACCTAGATAAAATCCAAACACAGAGGAACATCTATTATCTATAATGAGAGCTCATTATTGGCAGATAGATAGAAGACAAAACTTCAAGTAGCATAGTAATTACTCAAACATTAAAGAAAATGAACTTCACTGCCCTACAAATTTACTAAAATATGAGCGAGGCTTCTTGAAATTTGGTAAGATCACAACTAAAAGATATCCAAAACGGATTCTTTGCGGGGTAGCACACAGCTGGGCAGAAACTTGTACTCCATTATCCAGAGGCTAAGTTGCTCGAACTCGGGTGCGGGTATCCGATACGGGGACGGATCCAAGTATCAGATTCGGCGAAATCTAAATTTTAAGATTCGGGGGTGTGGATCCGGATATGGATACGGGTGCGGGGATTCGGCTAATAAAAAATAGAGCTATAAAAATATTGTAAATTTTGAGAGATATTCTATGAAAAACTTACATGAATATTGTAGAATTCAATCTTTCATTCTCCAAGATGGACATTATTCTTTCATCGTCCTAAATCTGTTTTATTTTTGATTTTGAGAAATCAAAATCTCAATTTTTCTCCCCAATTTGTCAATGGACTCCGGTCAAAGTGTCCGAAGTCAGTTGACTGAATCCGGGACGTATCTCGTCCCCGTCTTGTATCGGGACAGGGACTGCACCAAAATCGAAGAGTCCGCGCAACTTAGTCCAGAGGTAGTAATCCCCTAGACAGAAACTGAGTGTTATCTTTACAAACATCTACAGACCAGATGTATGTCCTAGGGTAAAAAATGGAAAACAAGTACCAAATTACACCCATAGTCACAAAAGGAAAGTAGATAAGTATAACACCAAATCAAAACCTAACTCTAAAAGATACATTATCTGGTCTGTTCCAACCTTCATCACCTGGAAAGCTTCTTAAACGGGGAAAATAAACAATGAAAAGAATGAGAGGTTTAAAAGGATGGAATAGCATACATTGGGGGAAAAAAAAAGCAGCATGATATTAAATGAAATTATGTCTCCGGTTTCTAAAGTGCTGAAAATATTTTCCAAATTTTATATTTCTCTACCAAAAATAATCCGAGCAACAACAAAGCTAAAGTTAACCAGCCGAGCAATGGATTCAAAAGTAAAATTCTGCTGGAGAATATCCAGAGAGAAGCAGTTGACAGAAGATGAACCCATAACTGTATACTAAATGGGCAAATCATCTCCTGACTTTACGGCACCAAAACCATACCCATCTCCCTCCCAAAAGGTCATCCCAATCAGCAAAAGAGAAGAAAAGAACTTAGTAAAGAAAGAAAAATCAAGTTTTGCATCTACATTCCTCATTAGAGGAAAAAACAATTGAACTTTTTTTCAGAAATCAAAAGAAGAGACAGATCGAAAGACAACAATATTCTTAAGGTAAAATCTAAATAAATAACTCGAAAAGTCCAACAAGAAGCTGACAAAATGAGAAGTATTCAGTGAGAATAGAGATTCAAAGTTTACCAGAGAAAATGTGTCAATTGAACTACTCAAAAGTTGGAGAAAAATAATCACCCAAATTAGTTTAGACAGAAAGCAGAAGTATGCAAAATACAGTGGCAATTTTAATAAAGGTGCACGTGGAAGCTCAGATGTCGCAGATTTCATGTGAATTTGTGTCACTTTCAAGATATCTTAATTATTACGTAATGATGCGTCCCTACTTTTGGGTCAAACAAAACAAAGCTGTAGATGGGACATCTGATATATGTTAATGCGGTTAATTTCTTGCTCTCATGCGACTTTCTTAAGTTGTGCGCTTCAAAATTTTGAAATTTTGGAAACAAATTTCAATTTTTTTGCACAAATACTGTGTTTAAAAAAAAAAAAAAAAAAAA